CAATTGCTAAACAATAGAATTGATTTTTTTACCGTGAATTCTGAATACTAGATATGACCTCAAAATAACAAAGGTCAAGATCGGGTAGTGAGAGGTTGAGGATAAGCTTTAGTGATAAAGGAGGTAGTAGTGCAAAGACAACTAAGAGGTTTGCCTAGAAACAACCATTCTTGAAAAAAAAATGTGCAATAACTCATTGATCGAACGCTCTTTCGCTGGAGATGAATGAGACTAAACGATCTCCCGAAACAGTGGTAGGAATTAGGATAATGGACCACATGCTTCACTGAAATCTTCCACACAATTGCGTGGCACTTTCTTAAAAATAGTAGGAATTTTTTTATTCCTATACACTATTTGAAACCTTATTACGAAAAATGTCCATGTTTTGGTATTTACCCGACCTAAACACATTTTAGTTACAAAATATACACAATCCACCTTAAAAGGCTCCCAATCCATTATTTGTGCCTTCAATCAAGGGATTTAGTTACACCCTTTTCCTTTTTTCTCTCCTCTCTCCCCTCTTACAACAAACAAGATCAGTGAGCACGACTAAGAAATTTAAACATGCGTAAATTTCACCGAAAACAATAATAAAATACAGGAGGGGTCATTGAAAATATCTCAGTATAATAGTCAGATCGTGAATTACCTCTTCGGGTCTTCCTTCAAGATTATTCACCAAATCTATCATAAACGGGTTTTGTCTAGCCTTTCTCAAGTCCATTGTCTCCTTCCTCGATTTATTTCTCTCCTGCCTCGACATTTTATCTTCTTCCATAGGAGCAGGTACAAGTTTGGGGGGTCGATATACATTGCTGCCATCCTGTAGCTCAAGAAAAGAAACATTCAACCATCTCTTTTACTTTAGGAAATCATACAGGAGAATGAGAGAGTAAAATCATAATTTTAACTTTTTGAACTGCTAATGATCGAGTCAACTCTTTGAACAGTAAGAGGAGAAAGGAACTAAAATGGTCATTTCATGGTCAAGTACCAATTACCCAACAAATTTAAATACATTTTTATACAAATTTTATACAAATATATTTTTTGTATATTTTGTATCTGATTTATACATAGTAAAAATAAATTTCATACATAATAATTATATATTATACAACTTATCTATAACTTATCTACAACTACAATATTATACCACTTAACTATAATTTTTATACAAACTTTATACAATATGTCTTTTGTATATTTTGTATCTGATTTATACATACAACAACAACAACAATAATAATAACAACCCAGTAAAATTCCATTAGTGGGGTCTGGGGAAGGTAGTGTGTACGCAGACCTTACCCCTACCCGAGGGAGTAGAGAGGCAAATATCTGATTTATACATAGTAAAAATAAATTTTATACAACTAATTATATATTATACAACTTATCTACAACTTTCATACATTATTTCTACCCCAGTTATATACAACTACAATATCATACAACTGAAATATAATTTTTATACAATATTGTTCAAGTTTCATACAATATTTAAATTAAAAAAAATATATAAACAACAAAATACAATTTTTCTATAATTTTACTACAACTTTACTACAATTTCGTAAGTATAATGTATGTCATGTCTTCTTCTTCTTCTTCTTTGAGTTTCAATCTGAAATTCAGCCAAAATCAAGTCTAATTTTCACCAAAACACCCTCAAAATTGAGATATAAACTCCAAATAATATTCTCAATTGTTTGCAACAACACCCAATCCAAACAAATAATAATTTTTGAAAACCCAAATTCGAATTCAAAGCTTCAAAGCCTTTTAATGGATGTCAATGGTGAAATTGCTGCTCTCTTACTCGAATTAGGGCCGATCTTCGAAAATATTTTCTTCTTCATTGAAAGCTAAGAAAGCAACATGCGTTAATGGAGGTGTGTGGTAGGGTATTTAGAGCTTGAATCTATACAAATGTAGAGGGATTTTTGAAGAAGAGTGAAAAATTGTAGAGGGATTTTTGAAAAAGAGTAAAAACATGCGTTAATGGAGGGATATACTGAAGATACGTGGGCGGAGGGGGGGAGGGNGAGTAATAAAATTTGAAATAGTGTATAGGAATATAAAAATTCTAAAATGGCATATGCAAGCTAATCTAAAAGTTTAGAAGTTCTCAATAGCATGGGAATAAAAGATATTAATAATAGCACCGCAAAGGAAAATAAGAGGTGAAATAACAAAATATCCTATAACGCGATGACATAATTTTCCCATTGAAATTTACAACTTTCACAGATTATTTTTCTACTGCAACTTCAAATACTTTAAAATTAAACTCAAGGGTTGTCCAAATAACAACTTATATCAAAGAGAACATCTATATCTATATATACTATATTAAAATCACGAATGTCCTTAGTGAAATGTTGTTCGTCTTTTTGGCCTTAAAAAATAAAGTTTATCTTGAATAAAATAGTCTTTTTGATTATTTTTTTAATATTTAGGAATAAATAATTTCCTATTCTTTAGGAATAGTTATTTAGTTCATTCCCTACTCTTTAGGAAGGGCAAAGGTCCAAATATGCCCTTGTACTATAGAAAATTGAGTACATTTGCTTTTCGTTAATATTTAGCTCAAATATGCCCTTACCGTCACATAGTTGGTCCATATATGCCCTTAGAGTTACACAGTTAGCTCATATATGCTCTTTTCGAAACGGAATACATCCAAACTAATTAGCTCTTTCGTTAATTGTATTAAAGTGTATTACAAACACTATTTTCTTTGTATTAGTACTTTTTTTTCTTTACCTTTCTTCTTTTTTCTTTTCTTCTCTTTTTTTTTCCTTTTTCTTTCTCCCTTATCCGTTTCCTCCATTACTGATGTCTTCTCCATTTTCGTCACCAATTTCACTTGACAAAACTCATGAATTCCAATTATTAAGAAAATTCTCCCATAAGATAATCAAGTTCCAATTTCACTGGCCCTCTAAATAAATGAAATGAAATTATTCCAAAAATTATGGTTTAAACTTTAAAATAATATTAAAAAATCTCAACCTTTAACAATACTCAAAAGACCAAAATATTTAAATTATTTCTAGAAAGATAATTTAATAATTAAAACCCTAGAGTTCAAGTTGTAGTGTTATAAATTTAAGTTGTTAATCTTTTTTCAGCTGGACATTTTTTATTTTTTATTAACAATGTAAATTAGGGGTGTACATAGAACGGGTTGATTTGATTTTTATCAAAATCAAACCAAATTCATTATATCGGTTTGGATTGTTCGGTTTTGTTGGATTTTCGAATTTTTTGTTACATAAATATTATTTCAATCTTACTTTATTAAATTTTTTAGAACTAAATATATGTTCAGTAAAAATTTAAAAATTAAAAAACATAAGATCTATAAAAATATTCTTATGGGAGAATTTTCTTAATAATTAGAATTTATGAGTTTTGCCAAGAGAAAGATAAAGAAAAAAGTACTAATAAAAAGGAAATAGTATTTGTAATACATTTTAATACAATTAACGAAAGAGTTAATTAGTTTGGGTGGATTCCGTTTTGAAAAGGACATTATATGGGCCAACTGTGTAACTCTAAGGGCATATATAGACCAACTATGTGACGGTAAGGGCATATTTGAGCTAAAGTATTAACGAAAGGCAAATGTGCTCAATTTTGTATAGTATAAGGACATATTTGGACCTTTTTCGCTTTAGGAATATGCATTTAATTATTCTCTTACTACTTATAGAATTGATTTTTCAATGCGCTTTCAATTAACAGTAATAAAGTTTCCTTCACTTTCTCCATTTATAGATAGTAGCTAAATTGGTTTTTATTTAGTTTCATACCTGTATATAACTATAATATTGTAATTTTTTCCTATTATTATCTTAGTTCCAATAGGATATAAAGGATCTTTTCATAATTGTAATCAAATTATAAATGATGAATTTTTGAATTTTGGGTTAGAGCAAATCTCATGTGCTTTCTTAGGATCGCCTAGAAAGAGTCCTCTACATTAACGGAAAGAAGTCCTAGACATTAGGTATAACATTTCTTAAAAAAATTACTAATTATTATTTTTAATCCAATATAATTCTTATTAGATAAAATGTAATTACAGTAAATATTTAAAATGAGAATTTAAAGCAATAAGGAAGAAATAGTAATATATTTTAAATAAGTTTTCATTGATTATTATTTTTCGTAAATTTATTTACATTTATCTAGCAAATCACATCTCGCTTTATTCTTTATACAATAATAATAATAATAATAATTTATTTTTCACTCTTAACTCAAAATTAGTCATTTTTAGATTTTATGTTGTCATTTTATCAACTTTTTTTGTAATGTGTAAGACTAACCTCTTCATTCTCACATCTCTAAAAAAAAACTAAAAGATTAAATAGTTTACTTTATTTTATTTAACAAAGTTTTGAACAATCATGATAAAAGTACTTTTGTGTTATTTGTTTATTTTTAATATTAGATAATAAAGATAGCAACAATTTGGTCTTTATAAAAAATATATTTATATAATTTTCTAAAATTGTGCACTCATTGATAAGGAGTACATGCGTAAAGCACGCACTTTAAAAGTTAAATTATTATAAAAGTGGGAGAGTCTAAAGCAAATGCTTGATAGACCAAAATGCAACTAAACAATTACACGTAAGATATACATAATTCAATAATATTTATATACTATTTTAAAGTTTATACTTTATAAAAAACTATAGAAGTTAGGAAGATGAATTATTATATGATGAAAAAGTATAGAAGTTATGAAAAAGTACAGAATCAGAAAGGGGCAGAATAATAATGCAAATACTTTGGTGGGGGGGGGGGGGGCTGATCAGCATAAACGTAAAGTTAGCAGGGCAAAATCATTAATACCACTATTTTTTCGTTGAAATTAAGGAGAGACAACGGCTAGCAAATCAAACGGTAACCTTCAACGGTCGAATTATTCAAAAAAGGCTCTCCCTAAAATCAGTCCATTTCTTCTTTTTTCCATCTTCAAATTCTCCCTCCATTACTCATTACAGTCTTCATCTCTAAAAACTCCTTCCTTTCCACATAATCTCTGCAAATTTTGGGTACTAATAGAAACAAAATTTATTCTATACTCAATAAGTACCAATAGTAGGAGCTGAAGATGGTGCAAGAGATGTGGAATGGACCCCCTGGTTTCAGACCAACAAAATCGGCGCCATCTTCACCGGCAAAGCCTCTTGGAATTTCCAAGATTCGTTCGGAATCCTTTCATATTATTCCCAAAGTACCTGTTGGTGACACCCCTTATGTGAGAGCCAAAAATGTCCAAGTAAGCTTCTTTTACAACCTTAGAAATATGTCAATACCTCTGAGTCTGAAATTGTGAAAAAGTTTTAATTTTTAACTACTTTTGGTAATCGACTTCTAGTTGAAGCAATTAGTATAATCAATGGCGGATGTTAGAAAATCCAGGATTTGATTCCTTTCATCTTGTCTTTAGTCAAAGGTCTACCGGAAACAGTCTTTTTGCCCCCACGGTAGGGTAGGGGTAAAGTCTGCGTACGTACTACCCTTCCCAAACCCCACTTGTGGGAACTCACTAGGTTTGTTGTTGTTGGGTTCAATGTTTATATTTTCGCGGTTGAATCTATATCACTCTTATAATTTTGGGTTTGCAACTTAGTATTTGTTGAAATTTAATGATATTCTACCTAGATATTTATGCTCCGTGCAAAAAAATAATCAGTTTAGTTGAACTCATTGGAATGACATTGCATCCACCGGATGTAGTATTTGGGGTAGCGGGTGTAGCTGCAACTACTGTATTCGACTCGAATTGTACATATGATGGATCAAATTTTGTTTTCAAAAATATATTTTTATACTAACTTTGGTCCTATTGATGTAAAATCGTAGCGAGTGCAATAGCATTAGTCTTGAATTAATGTTTTCAAGACTAATGTAATGGATGTTTTCATTAATTGCTGAATTGTTTTATTGTATGATCTCAGTTGGTGGAAAAGGATCCAGAAAGGGCAATTCCATTGTTTTGGGCAGCAATAAATGCAGGTGATAGAGTAGATAGTGCACTCAAAGATATGGCAATTGTAATGAAGCAACAAAATAGAGCTGAAGAAGCCATTGAAGCAATTAAATCGTTGCGAAGTCGTTGTTCTGATCAAGCACAAGAAGCTCTTGACAATATCCTACTAGACCTATACAAGGTCTACTATAATTCTCCAAGTTTACTAGAATATTTGCAGTTAATTTCCTTTTATGCTATGTAACAAACTTACTAGGTAGGGGTAAGGTGTGCCTACAGTACACACTACCCTCCCCAGACCCCACTTGTGGGATTAGACTGATTCTGTTGTTAGATGTTGTTGTTAACAAGCTATAATGTTGATATTATATAGAGATGTGGAAGATTGGGTGACCAAACAACATTGTTGAGGCACAAGTTGTACTTGATTCAACATGGCTTGGCCTTCAATGGAAAGCGAACCAAGACGGCGAGATCACAGGGGAAAAAGTTTCAGGTTTCTGTGGAGCAAGAAGCAACTAGATTATTGGTAAGTGATACACTTCTTTGGTTTTATTTTATATGAAGGTGTTTGACTTGTCGCAGAGTTAAAGATAAACTTTTTAAACGTACCAAAGTACTCTTAGAAAGGTGTTAGTGCTATTCTTTTTAGAATGTTAAAAAAAAAGGTCGTCATAGATTACTGGTAAATGATACTTCTTTGATTTTATTTTATATAAAATCAAAGAAGACTTTTGGACAAAGTTCTAAGAAGACTTTTACTGGTAAATGTTTGACTTGTTACGGAGTTCAAGAATGACTTTTGACACATACCAAAAATCATAAATGTGAAAGGTGTTCTCCTATTTTTTTTTTGGACTAGTAAATGATTGTAATTCTTCGGTTTCATTTTATATGACAAGATTTAACTTGTCACAGAGTTTTATAAAAACTTTTGACACGTAACAAGTACTCTTAGAACCTTAAATGTGAAAGGTGTTACTTCTATTCTTTTTAGTACGGTCTAAATGGAGAAAAAGAGTCATAGAAAAGGGAACGACGAGAGTATAGTTTTAACACTTTTGTAATGACGAGAGCATAATAGAAATTCATTTAACATCAAGAAGTTTTTTCTATCTTTTCAGGGAAATTTAGGGTGGGCATTGATGCAACAAAACAACTACATTGAAGCTGAGGATGCTTATAGAAGAGCACTAGTGATTGCACCAGACAATAACAAGATGTGCAATTTAGGCATATGTTTGATGAAACAAGGAAGAGTTAATGAGGCAAAAGATACACTTAGGAGGGTGAAACCAGCAGTTGCAGACGGCCCGAGAGGCGTTGATTCGCACCTCAAGGCCTACGAGAGAGCACAACAGATGCTCCGCGACCTTGAGTCAGTGCTTTTGAATAAAGGTGGCTCTAGGCTTGAACAAAGCAAGCTTTTTGATGCATTCTTGAGTTCTTCTGCAATATGGCAACCTCAACCTTGCAAAGAACATAACACATTTACTAACACCAACTCATCCAAATATGCTGATGAGAACATGAATTCTAACATTATAGCTAACCATAGGGTTCTTACAAAGAGTATGCAACCAACTGTTTCACACGAAAACTTGCTAAATATTCGCGCTCCTCCATTTTATACATCCAAGATTGTGAGTGAGCCGACGAGTAGTACCCTGATGCCCGAAAATCTTAAGAGAACAAGGTCAGGAAATGCAGCTCACCCCATGAGAATGACTAAAGAGTCCAAAGGGACAGTCATAGAACAAGAAAATATGACGCGAAAGCAGTCAAATTCAGAGTTGTTACCAAATAGCAAGGATTTTGAGCAAGCGATAATTGCTGCAGCTTTGAATTCAAGTGATGAAATATTGAAGCCAGAAGGAGGAAGCAAAGATACTGGAATTCTTCCAAGGAAAATTGACAAAAGATTAAAAGTTTTCCAAGATATTACCTTGTCTTTGAGTCCAAGAGCTTAACACTATTGACTTTTTAACTTCCTTAAATCTAATTTCAACTTTTAAGTTATCGTAATTCATTCTTAGGTTGGAGATAAGCTTCTTCTCCTTTCACATCCTCAAGTAGGAGAGTAGTATGCAGATGGCAAGAGATTTTCCAAATGAAACCTGTGAACAATTCTTTGTTGAAAAGGAAAAGATGTTTACAATTAATATGAAGCAGATGACCCTTGTTTCTCTTATGGTTCACTCACTTTCACTTTCCTTGCCTTTGAAGTGTAACTTGGGCTCCCAAAGTAGCAATGTAGAATTGTGGTATTTACTATTCTATTATGAGCAGAGGAAGTTTACTACCTCCATCTTATATTATCTTCTGTCTTTTAAGGTTTTCAAACGCCCTTCATCTCTTCCTTGAATGTTTCACTAAATGAAACACTTCTAGTAATTGGAACAACGACATGGATAAGAAAAGTAATAAATGATTTCTGGTTTTTGTAATCAAATATTTTTAAAACAAATTTAGTTTGTCATAACGACTAATATTAGAACTGGAGGAAGTATACATTTTTGCAGTGCTCAATGATTTCATCAATTTATAGTTCAAGATCTCCAACCCTTTCGTAGAATTTCAAATATTCATATCTAACGAAAGCATGTACGATGAAGACCATCACATTTGTATCCATCCAATTGATGATGGAATTTTTATGACTAATTTTCACTTGAATTATTGTTGATTTGTTCCAATCTACCACGCGCTCTCATAAAATACTTGCTCACAATTCATACATATGAAATTAATTATTCATGACGGATGTCTTCATTTGTTTGATGCTTATTGTAACGACCCGACCAGTCGTTTTGAGAATTTACTTCCCGTTCAGAGTCAATTCCATAACTTGCGTGTATGGCCGAGTTCAGTTAGGATTCCTGTTTTAGAAGTTTAAGCGGTAAGAGTTGGCCAGAGTTTTTTGTCTTTAGTGTAGACGACTTCGAAATGGCATTTTGATGATTCCAATAGCTTCGTATGGTGATTTTGGACTTAGGCATGCGTCCAGATTTGGATTTGGAGGCCCGTAGGGTAATTTGAAGCATTTTGGCGAAAATTGAAAAGTTAAAATTTTGAAAGGTTGAAAGGTTTGACCAAGAGTTGACTTTGGTGGTATTGGGGTCAGAATGCAATTCCGAGAGTCGGATTAGCTCCGTTTTGTCATTTGGGACTTGCATGCAAAATTTGACGTCATTTCAAATTAATTTGGTATGTTTCGACACGAGATTTGGAAGTTGGAAGATTTAAAAGTTTATAAGTTTGATTCATGGTGCGATTTGTGGTTTCAACGTTGTTTGATGTGATTTGAGACCTCGAGTCCGCATTATGTTATGGAACTTGTTGGTATGCTTGTACGGGTCCCCGGGTGTGTTACAGATGAGCTTCAAATCATTTTCATGTTTTGGGACAGGTCTGGTTCTGGTGCTTCGCAGCTGTGACATTTTAGAGCGCAGGTGCGGCTCCGCTTCTGCGTGAGCCTGGTCGCTTCTGTGATCATAGTGGACTGGGAGGGAGCTCGCTTCTACGAGATTGGCACACAGGTGCGATGCCCGCTTTTGCGGCCCAGCGATTGCATATGCGAAGTTGTTCGCTTCTGCAGTTTTTTTGGCGCTTCTGCGATGTCGCTGGTGCGACTTTATTTCCGCAAATACGAATCTTGGCCTGGTAAGTTAAGTTCGCAGATGTAAACTTTTGCTCGCAAATGCGAGGTCACAGGTGCGGCTTTTCCGTTTGCAAATGCGAAGGGCGCTGGGCAGAACACTTTAACATATTTTGAGTTGTATACCTCGGTTTTGGGAGATTTTTTGTGGGTGTTTCAAGCAACTCAATGGGGTAAGTGTTCTCTACCCGAATCTTATTATATTTCATGAATCCATTGCTATTTTCATCATTTAATTAGTGAATTAAATTGGAATTTGGGGAAAATATGTAAAATCTTTAAAAAATATAAAATGATGATTTGAAGGACGGATTTATGTCGAAATTTGATAATTTTGGTATAGTTGAACTCGTATCGGAATGGGTGTTCGGATTTTGTAAATTTTATTGGGTTCCGAGGTGTAGGTCCGAGGGTTGACTTTTTAGTTCTTGTTAAAGATTGAAACTTTATTATCCGAAATTATTTTCTATGAGTTTTATTTATGATTTGAAGTGATTTTGGCTAGATTTGAGCCGTCTGGAGGTTATTTCACTAGAGAAGGTCATTTTAGAGTATCGACCTGGCTTCTTTGAGGTAAGTATCTTGCCTAACTTTGTGTGGGGGAAACTATCCCTTAGGATTTGAGTCCTTGGTGCTAATTGTGTCATGTGAAGGCCGAGTACGTGCTCAGACTTATTTGTGAAAATTTGACCATTTAGTACTCTTAGGTTCTTATGTCCATTTAATATGAAGTTGTTTTGTCATGTTAAATTTCTCATTTACTAAATTCACCCTTACGTGTCTTATTTGGAATTTAATGCTTTATGTTGTACCCTTATTGTCGATTAAACTCTTATGTGCCTTAACTAAAGTTGTTGCCTCTTTTATTGCCATGTTATCCTTTCCGTAATTGTTTATCCTTGGTTGAATTTATTATTATCTTTTTCTATAATTTGCTTATCCTTAATTGAATTTATTGTATCTCTTCCGTAATTGCTCAACCCCAAAATAAAGTTTTGTTATCCCTTATTATTGTTGACTTATCCTTATTTGGAATCATTGATTCATGGTATCCCTCTTATCGTTGAATTGTACTTTTGTGGAATCATTACTACACATTATCTCTTCCTTGTTGAGCTATTGTTATGTTGTACCATTATTTCCTGTTATGTCTTTTTTTGTGAGTTCGTTCTTCCGTTTTCTTTGTATTCTGAAGTTACTGAGTTGATTTACTTGTCGTATTCTCATGTTAATGTCGTTGTTGCTATTGTATTCAGCATTGTTGAGTCGAGGGCTATGTGTGGTTGTGATATTGAAACTGTTTTGAGGAAATGTTGTGGCATATGGGCACATATTGTGAAAGTCATTTATTTGAATTGTTATGTTTTTGGCATATACGTTTTTTGAGAGAATTATTATGTTGTTTGCACGAAGTTTCTGCTGTGCGGTAGTTATTGTGTTTGCATGAGGTTTCTGCTGTGCGGTTGTTATTTTGTTTGCATGAGGTTTCTGCCGTGCAGTTGTTATTGTGATTGCATGAGGTTTCTGCGGTGCGGTTGTTATTGTGTTTGCACGCGATTTTTGCCGTACGGTTGTTATTGTATTGCACGAGGTTTCTGTCGTACTGTTGTTATTATTGATACACATGCGGTGGTATAAGGTCTGGGTGTTAAAACGCATGCAGTGAAATAAGGTGGGCTTGAAATGCGTAGCTAGTAGGAGAACTACTAGAAGCCATGCGGTATAATAAGGTGGGCTAAAATGCGGGATGCTATTTCGGGAAAATAATTTTCAAAACTAAATATAAAGGCTCCCGCAGTGATATAAGAAAAGTTGTGATTCATTTTACGATTTGAGACTACGAGGCGGTACCTCGGGAGGGCTCTTGTTGTCATTTTCCCTTTTTTGTCCGCTTGTCTTTGATTGTTGTTTTCCTTAACATACTACTAATTATTTTCCTCCGTGATTCACTTTTTGCTCAGTTCTATGTAGCTAATCTTGTTGTGCTTGTCGCTGCTTCAAACTTCATTGCTGCTTTTATTACACTGTACATTTCGTGGTGATCATTTCTTATGTGCCATTCATTGTCTCTACTCCTATTTGTTGACTGAAATTGTGGTAGAACGCTTGCACAAGTATATACGTAGTTAAATCACCCATATCGGTTTCAAAAGGTGAATCCTGACGTCAATAACCATTATACGTACTCTTGTCTACTTGCCTTATGTGTGAGGAATGTTCTATTGACATATGAGTTGTCCGTGCGGATATAAGTTGTAATGTGGGCACAAGATGCCAAGTGAGTAGGGTTCAAGAATTGGGACCCGTGGGATGTGATTATGAGATTCGGTACCTCGTGGAAATACTTGAACAAATCTGGTGTGACAACGGTTGTTCTTATTGAGTTGTTGCTGGTTTTTCCTTTATTTTGATTTCACCGGACTTAGACTGTGTTCAGCTTACTCTACAACATTATTACCTGACTGCTTCCTGTTAAATATTGTTGTTATTGGTGTCTCGTTGCAAGTATTGTTTGGTATTCCTTATCCTGCTTAGTTGTGTATTAATATTTTTTTTCTCTGTTAGTTCACCTTCACACTTATTCAGGTTGTTTAGTCCGGTAGGTGTCTTGGCTGTCCCTCGTCACTACTTCACCGAGGTTAGTCTTGATACTTACTGGGTACCGCTATGGTGTACTCATACTACGCTTCTATATATTTTTGTGCAGATCCAGGTGCCTCGATTATTGTTGATTATTTGCTGGTTGGTCGAGCTGTGGAGACTCAAGGTAAACCTGCCGTCGCGTTCGCAGGCCTCGGAGTCACCTTCTGATATTTTCGTTGTACTGTTTAATTCTATCCCAAATAGTTGCATTTAGGAATTTTTCTAACAAACTCAGTAGAGCTTATGACTTGTACTACCGGTTTTGGGAATTGTAATTGTGTATAAGATTTTTATCTCGTATTTATCATTCGATGGCTGAATTCTTCTACTTATTTAGTAAATGTTAGACTTATCTAATCTTATAGATTAAGTGCCGTCACAATATCCTACGGAAGAAAATTGGAGTCGTGACAGTTTAATTCTCGTTGTTTCCACCCACTCGACCATAGCTTCTTGCCAACCAAAATTAAGCCAATAATACGTTGGGTGGTAGTTGTTGTCTTTCAGTTTTTAGTTAAGCAAAAATATTGAAGTGAACAAAAATGGCATATAAAAGGAGAGAGAGCATGATAATTTTTGTCTCACAAAAATATATAAGAAATTTGCTACTCCTGAATATTTCATCAATCAATAATATGTCTGTTCAACATTTTATCTTGTCAATCACTTCAATTCAAAATGAAGAGATATATACACATTGAGGGGTCGTTTGGTAGGGTGTATAAAAATAATGATGAATAAGATGTATTAGTAATGTAGGGATTAGTAATGCATGAGTTAGTAATGCAAACATTAGTTATGCATAAATTATTTCTTATCCACTGTTTTGTGTGGTGTATTAAAAATTAAAATATATTGCATAATTTTTAAGAAAATTAGTTGTTTATACAAATGCCCTTCATATTCTTTAGCTCCTTACATGTACTAGAATTGTTTGCCTAAGGTGTATCCCCAATCCCCCCAAAACTCCAATTTGCTCGATCATGATTAAGCACTACAAATCAATTTTTGTTTTCTATTTAACCTTTTGAAATCTGAAATACACTGATTTAGTTGATTCGGGTTCGTGCAAAGTAAAATTCCAAATGAGAGGTAAAGCTCTCTATTTAAACATTTTTTTTTTCATTTTATAGAGTTCGAATCAAAGACATCTAGTTGATATTAAAATTAAAAAAAATTGATGTGTGTTGCAAGATGACTATATGATAAGAAGACACTTAATAAAGTAAATTATAAGTTCTATAGAATAGTTCAGGACCAGCAATATTAAAGGAAGTGAATGTTGAACATTAACATATTCACAAAATGAGTATTGTAAAAATGCAAATATTAAAATTGATGTGCAGTAAGGCAGAATTAGAAATATTAAATTTTAGCACAAAAAGTATAAAATGAGAGAATTTAGCGTACCTTTTTTTATTTTCAAGACTTAAACTTAAAATTTCTGATTAAAAAATAAAAATATTCGAACCATTTCAGCAGATAAATTTCATGATGCTGCAATACAATGATTTGGGATTTCTCATGCACATCACATGACAAAGATATTGCTTCTCATGATTCTCATCTAACAACTACGTGTAATAGGAATTGTGGTGGGATGGTAAACACTCTTTTGTGCGGGGCGTATCTACGGGGTTTCATGGGCACGTGAACCCATAATTCCCTGCTTAGATAAGATATAATAATATTATATTTTCTCAAAAATTCTTAAATATATGTTTGTGCACCCAAGATTAAAATATCATATGATGCGATGGTTATTGAGTGCAGCTCTCTAAGTGTGGTTGTGAATTCAAACCTTATAACAATTTTATTATTTTCTTTTTTTTCTTATTAAACTAGGTGCCACGGGAGATGGGCATGTCAGGTGTTAATTTTTACGTATCAATTAAGTATTTTTTGTTTCTTCGTTTGGTTTATTCTTTCAAAGTTTTCACACATTAAAATTCTTATTCTTTTTTTCTCACCATAAAATCTTATATGATTAAACATGATTTGTATATTAAAACTAGTGGACGATATAGCATATAGTCATGAGTTTAACTAATCCCAACGTATTCTACATAGAGTATATATAGATGTGCAAAAATTACTATTTAAAAATAATAATTTTGAACTTATATCTCCAAAAAAACTAACCAGTGAAATAGTGAACCAAACGTTAAACCCATAAAATTTATATTTTGGATCTACCTCTTCGTAAAATCTTGGATCCGCCTCTGTTCTTAGGTTCGAGCTCTGAGTATGGAATCGCCTTTGTTAGAAAGTATTTTATTTTCTAGTGTGGGACTTTCTGACGTGAATCCGAATTTAATGAGCCCCAATACGAATACTGGATACCGAATGAGAAACCAAATAAAGCTACATGTACATGGGCCTAGGCATGCACAAGAATCTTGTCTACTTTGGGAGTCAAATGTCAATTACTGTCAATTTGCCACTAAGATATGCTTTTTTCCGTTCTTACTTTTTTTTTTGCCAATTTGTCCTACATAAATTTAACACAATTATGGGGGAGAATGAGCTAAGAGTGAGAGGATAATTAATGATCATAGGCTGTGATTGACCAGTGGACCCCACATAAATTCTTAGGTGACCCCACAAAAATTCTTTTCATGAGGGACTAGTAAATATTTACTCATCAATGATCTTGATAGTAGTTGACACACAGAAATGGAAATGCAGTCTTTAATATTTATGATTTAGATGGTAGGACATCACATAGGAACTAATAATGGCAGTGTGTGGGCTAATTTGTATACCCCTTAATTAAATATATGTCGGATATGTGCTATTTTCACCCCGCTCATGTATTGAGTAACCAAAACAATCTGTGCATCAAACTTAGTTAATTTATTAACTTTACAAAGGAGGTTATTACTACATATTAAGGTGTCCTTATGTATCTCTCTTGATTATTAAAATTGGTTAAATATGACTTTAGGTTCAAGTATAACACATCTAAGTGTAAAATGAGAGCAATTTGCTTAAGATTTGACAATATCATGCCTAGACCTCCAAATGAGCATTGAGCAATGGTCACCAGATAAAATATTGTGTTGACTGAAAGCATTATAAACAGGGAGAAGGTAGAAGCCCAGATACACGGGTTCGATCGAATTCAGTAATTTTTGTTCGAATAATATATTTGGTTTAAGAAGTTTATTAAAGAGAGTTTTGCACAAAAATACAATCCAATATTGCAATTAAGCATCCATATTTTTAAGTTTACAGCCCATAGCTTGTTATTTTTTTGCTTGTATTTATACACTCGGTATCTAATATTATACACTTATTATAAAAATTAACTTTCGTCTCGTACGAACTTCAACCCATGAAAACATCACCAAATAGGTCAAATCTTTACCGAATACTTTTAAATTTTAACCGCAACTTTAAAATGACATCCATACGAACCCCAATTATAAATTTGTTAAATTTTTTAACAAATCACAAAATCCTTCTGAGTTTTCAATATTATAAAACCCCCAATAGTAGAGTTTTTAATTTTTCCCTTAATTACTTTAATTCACCAATGTCTAAATTTGTGATGATAAACATGAATATTACTCTCAAAAAAGTTTCTAACACAGATCTTCTTAATCCCCTGTTAATAGGTGAAAAAAAGTTCCAAGTTATATAAAAAATACGCTAAATTAGGTAAGAAAAAAATATATATGCTAAATTGATTGGAAAAGTACCTCACATGTACTCTCGTAATTATTTCGTTCTTTTAAATATCTAAATGTAATATTAAAATATAATTAATTTAATTTTAAAACTAATTAAATTAACCTAAGAGCGAAAAATATCACATAAATTTAGAAAAAAAGGAACAAAGATCATGTTTAGCCCGCGATCGAAACTATTTATATTCGGTAGTCGCAAAAGTCTATTTTAAGCTATTATTTTGTAAGCGACTATATATACATTGTTATTTTTCCAACAAATATGTATTTATTACTCTATGAATTTGTATAAACCATACCCTCACCCCGGGAAAAAAAATAAGAAGTAGTCAGATTAATTAAAAAATAGGTACAATTTTAAGAGTAATCAAAATTTAGCCATTTTCATGTAAAGATAAAATCTAAACAAAAAAAAATCGTAAAACTCCAGAAAAATTCCATCATAATATGCCAGAGTTCGAATTTTTTACATATAAGATTCCAACATAATGTATTAGAATTTTATAATGTGATAGAGTTACAACATAATATGCTGAAAATTTAAACGCACGAGCTCCATAATCTAGCATACTATGTTGTAACTTTGCGTGTGTTGGAGTTCCAACATAATATGCTTGAAATTTATATGCATGAGCTCCATAATCTCGCATACTATGTTGAAACTTTTTATATTTAAGCAAAATATTGACTATCTTTTAATGACTTTATAAACACCGATTATTTTTTAATTTACTATCCGAAAACTGACTACCCAGTAATACCCAATCATTAGCAGAGAGAAAGAAGAGTACAGAGCTTCGTTGGCTGACAGAGAGAGCAATAGAAGGGGTCAGTATCAGTCCCAGCGAACGCTTCAACAGCAGTATTTTCCGGTAACAAAAAGTAGGTACGTTAGGTAGGCAATTACCTTTACAAACAAACAGTGGGTTTCCTTTCCTCTCTCTTTACCTCTAATTTATCTTTCTCTAGATCTAAATTTACGCACCCATTTTTCTCCTTCCCCCAAACATTTTCATTTCTCCCTTTCCCTTCCCTTCCCTTCCCCTCTACATTTTCCATTGATTACACTGATTTTCCAATTAGGGTTGGGGTTTCCTCATCATTAATTAAACAGCTAAAAAAGTTAGTTCTTTTTTCTTCTGTGGGTTTTTTGCCATTTTTTGCAGATGGGTCATTGAACCAAGGAAGCTTCAGTCCAAGAATCACATTGTTTAGAGCTTTTTGTTAATTGATCAGGTCTTCTCAAGAAGATCTGAGAAGTGGGTTTGTTTTATTTTTTTCAAAAGGGGTAAGCCCAAAAAAAAAGGGAAAAAAATGAGTGCTTCAAGGTTTATCAAGTGTGTTACGGTGGGTGATGGTGCTGTTGGCAAAACTTGTCTTTTGATTTCATACACCAGCAATACTTTCCCTACGGTTTGTTTTCAATCCCCCCTCTTTTCTTGTTTCTGTTTAATTTTCCATTTAAGGGTGTGTTTGGTGTGAGTGATAATATTTTTCTTTTTCCTCTGTTTGTTTTTAGCTTGATTTGCTTAAAATGTTTTCTCTAAACAAAATGTTTTGAGGAAAATGAAGTCTTTGTGTTTATAAATGTCCAAACTCTTATACATTAATCTCAATTGTAATATTCAAAAATTTCATCTGGAGAATTCATGTACATCTTTACCTTCATAAAAAAAATGTATCGTCATTACTCATGAATATATATATTGATAAAATCACGTGAAAGAGCATTTTTTTAATACATTTTCCTTGGTGTGAACGAGGATGCTTTGTGCACCTGACTTCCTTTTGCCCTTTTTAAAAAAGAATTCGGGCGTCTTTGGCTTTTTTGCTTAGGCTGTCAACAGAATACCTGCTGCGATTTTTGATTTATTTGCTTATTGAAGGTCTATCTCTACCAATTATCCTGTTGTGCGCTCAGTCGTTGTACGCTTGTTTTGATCGTTTTTGACAAATTTCTTGATTCTTGGTTTGCCTGATTTATTTCCTGCTTCGAAACTCCGATGGATGATGGACAGTTGGACACGCCCTTTACCCTTCTCTACTTGAAATCCAGACTTTTTTGCTTAATGTCAGTGAGCTAAATGGGACCCTTGTTTCAATCTTTTGGATAAATCCACATGATCGGTGGCTTAATGCTTAATATCTTCTTGTGCGATAAATTGACCTTTTTGATATTTTTGCAGAAATATTTCTTGGTTTACATATTCGCTTTAGGATACATTTTTAAGTATATTGAGTTATGTCTTTAACAAATTCATCATGTGTCTGTTCTAAATCAAGCTGTGATAATTAGTCCAAAAGGCAAGGAAGAGAAGAAATTGAATTTATTTCGATATGAATTGATATATGTATAAACTGTTTGGTGCTTGCTCTTTGCTGCATTTACATTGGTTGTTTTGAGGAAAAATGTTGTGTTATCACATGTACAGTCTTTTCTTTTTGGACTTTGGCATGAATTACAGTGTTTCGAATAATTTTTGTATATCCCGAGAAGGATTTCTCTCATCTTCCCAAAATTTAACATCAATTGTTTTTCCCCTCATTCATGCAATTTTTTGACAGGATTACGTGCCCACTGTGTTCGACAATTTCAGTGCAAATGTGGTTGTCAATGGGAGCACTGTCAACCTAGGGTTGTGGGATACTGCCGGTAAGACATTTATTGCTGAAAGCTTCTGATTACTGTTAAATGTTAATGTATTCAATGCATATCCTATACTACCAACATGTGCGCTGTCCAAATTGTAATGAGCCTTTCATTACTATCTCTTGTATAACAGGACAGGAGGATTACAATAGGTTAAGACCTCTGAGTTACCGTGGAGCCGATGTCTTCATTTTGGCATTCTCTCTCATTAGTAAAGCCAGCTATGAGAATGTATCCAAGAAGGTGACTGTTTGATTATCAGTTTCTCTTCATTTAGTATTTTACTATTCATTGTCGGTACATGAAAAATTTACATTTTTTGTTGATTGTTTTCAGTGGATTCCTGAGTTGAAGCACTATGCTCCTGGTGTCCCAATAGTTCTTGTTGGAACAAAACTTGGTGAGAGTTCTTTTTAACCACAATATGATCTGCAGTTTGTTTCATAGATCTACATGAGGTGATGATCAATAGTCTGCAATCTTTTGATTTAAATATATATTTGTTGTGATCAAAGGAAGATACTTAGCACGGGTTTCCTAACTAGATAGTCCTTAGGTTGTTACTAGTATAAGATTCTGCTGTTCTCTAAGTGGAAGGAACTTTCTTCCCAGTTAAGAAAATAGATTTTAGAGGAAACTGCTGAAGAGCGAATAAAGAGTGTGGTGGGGCCGTCTGTGAAGTGGAGTTGGGGAATAGTTTGTAGCTGGTAAGGGCATGTTTGTAGCTGGTAAGGGCATGTTCCCATTTTTGTTGCTTTTGCTCGTTTTGCTTCTTTGCTTCTTTGTATGAGTTGAGAATGGACCTTTTTGTGTAGGTACCTATACAAGGATGAGCTAATAATATCAAAATTAGGCTCTTTTTACGTAAAACAAAATTAAAAAGGAGACTTGTTCTTGAATATGGATTTAAACAACTTGGTCATCAACCTGTGTGTAGTAGTTATATCTTTACTTCATTGTAACATGTGAAATCATCCTATAACTTTGGTTTCTCCATATGTTCTGTATTTCTTCTTTTGCTGCTAGTGTCTACCAATGGCAATCTACGTTGTTTCACTGGACAGTGGATCTTCGGTGGGTCGGGGGGGG